TCATAAAATGTTACACCGGTACTTCAAGGTGCACATTCCAAAAGCACTCATTGGCTTCTCCCCATATGTGAAGGCCTACAACACAACTCCAGAATGTCTGTTTAGGACAGGAAAAGGGTTATTTGGAAGGGGCTGTTCGAAGCTGCCTTTGTATAACACTTTACTAGGTGTACTGGTTAATAATGCCAATTTTTTTCAATAGATGGAGTTACACATATGTTGACATATATGCGATTTGATATGTATGCTGTTTTGTTGTACAGTGGGGCCTTGACTTACGAGTTTAATTCGTTCTGAGACCGAGCTCGTTAAGGAGCTCATTAACTAAAATTACTCAATGCAAAAAATCGGCCGAGGGACAGCTGGTATCTCAAAAAACTCGTTAGTCGGGACACTCGTAAGTCAAGGCCCCACTGTGTTGGCAACAAGCTTCAAACTTCATATGTAAAATTTTCTGAAGGTGTTAACATGATAGATATTTTTACGCTTAAAAATGTCGAATATTAGGAAAGCTAATTATTTAACATATTCTTATAGTTCTAAATAAGAAAGCACTTACACCATTCAGATATGTAGATCTTCACCCGGTTTTAAAAGTGTTTCCAAGAAAAATCCTCGTGGCCTCCTTTCCTGGTATGTAATAGCCTTCGAAGCAGGATGCTGACCTTTACCTGTAATCCAACAACAGCCCTGCACTGCTTAGCTTCTCTTGCCCTTGGTTGGTTGTTGTGGGGCCTTGGATGTCCCTCCTGTTAGAAGACCCTGCATCTGAGAAGTCAGTCTGGTTTTCTTCAGAGAGAGGGTTGAGCTTTAGCTCCTGGAATCGTGCCTGCCCCCCAACAGAATTTATGGATTAGGGTGTGAGCCTTCCTTCCCAACATTCCAAGAGGGAAAAGGGAAGAAAAATATAGGCCATGAGGAAGCTGGTAAGACCCCTGGCTTCAGGGCCTGTGGGGGACAGAGCCAGAGCTGTGCCCCAGAGCTCTGCATTTACCCAGAGACAAGAATAGGGTTCTTCAAGTTTAATTAAAAACAGGATGTCCCTGCTGGGCCTCTCATCGATGTTGCTAAAATAAAGTAGGGAAGTAGCCTGGCTTCTTCTTTTAATCCCATTAAATTTGGGGGTGGGGGTGGAATTGGAGCTAATAAAAGACATGATTTGTTTCAGATTGCTGTCTGGAGTTGTGTCTTTTCCCTCCTTGTGCTGTGGAGTCCTGGATTTGGAAGTTCTAATGCAGTCAGCTCTGGGTTGTTGATGCCGTGGGAAGGGAGCAAAGGAACAGACAATTCCCTAAATGTGATTTTGCCAGGCCGTCATCTACTTACTCTGGGGACCACTGGGTCTCGTCACCTCAGCTCTTTGCTCACTACTGTAGTACCACCCGCGTCATAGACCTGGTTTTATGTAATTCCTGTCTGTGAGTTGATGCACATTAAAAACAAACAAAAACCAGCAACACCTAGTCTGAGGGCTATGAGAGCCATTTGTAAATGTGAGCCCCTTAAAGGAGCCCTCGCTTCCTCCTCAACCCCACAGTGTACTCCGACATTAGCTTCTTGCTCCATTCCAGAGCCCCATTTGCAAATATATTCATGGAAGAGCATCCTGACTTTCTTTGCGTTTTGTTTTGTTTTGTTTTGTTTTGTTTTGTTTTGTATTAACTTGTCCCTATTTCTCTGTCGCAACCCCACTCCTTTTGCCTAATAGCTCAGGACTAAAATTCTTGGAAACCTGTGGTTCAGAGTGTGAGAGCCTCATTCTCTAATACAAATTCATTTGTTTCCTTGGTCTTTCATTCATTTGTTCAATCAAGAGTTCTAGGGAATAATCTCTAGATATTACCCAGTTGACTTCCCATCAAATCCCATCATGATAACTTTATGAGTCCAACTCTTAGAGGCTTAGAGTTACAAGAAGTGCTTCAGACGAGTGGGTTTTACTGCCCACCATGGGACCCAGACGTGTAGGTGAGGACTTTCATAACAATTATTAAGGCATTACTAGAATCACAATATCCGTCTCAATGGTGGTCATAAAAATGAAAGCTTTTGGTCTTCAGTATGATGTCTCCCAAGCCTGTGCCAGAGGATTGGTGATATGTAAAATGAGAAAGAGCATATTCCTCTTGTTGATGATTAACTCCTCATCCCCTAGTACATAGTAGATACTCAATAAATGTTAAACTATAAATAATCAATTTTAATTCTTTCAACACTATTGCTTGCAAATAAGGAATAGAGGTGGTTTGGGAAAGTACGTGTAGATAAAAATTTCAAATTTATTGGCAGTTCCATCTTTTTGTTGCTCATTGGGGAAATACAAAGACCTTAACATGGTCTGTGAGGTCCCAGTGGTCTGTTTCTCCCTGCTCTGGAGCCACATCTCCAGCCACACTCCCCACACACTCTTGGCCTTCTTACCATTCCTCTCACCTCAGGTGTCTACACCTGTGTTTCCCCCTGTCCTTTACCACTCTAAGCTCTGTGTCTTCTACATCTTTTTGCTCAGCCATCATTCCTTGGGGCAGCCTATTCGCCTGACAAGGTTTAATTTCCCCAATATGTCATCTCATAAAACCACACATCTTCCTTTGTATCACTGCTTTCAAAAATAGTTTTACATTCATTTATTTATTTTAGTAATGTTGGTCTGCCTTATTTAAAAGTAAAACCATGCCGTGACCGGTTTGGCTCAGTGGATAGAGCGTTGGCCTGCAGACTGAAAGGTCCCGGGTTCGATTCCGGTCAAGTGCATGTACCTTGGTTGCGGTCACATCCCCAGTGGGGGATGTGCAGGAGGCAGCTGATCGATGTTTCTCTCTCATCAATGTTTCTGACTCTCTATCCTTCTCCTGTCCTCTCTGTGAAAAATCAATAAAATATATTAAAAAAAATAAAAGTAAAACCATGATGGCAAGGATGGGGTAGATGATAAGGCCTGGTATACAATAATTGATCAATAAATATTTGATGCATGACCGAGTGAATAGATGAATGACTGAGTAGGGGGTGGGAGAGTAAATGAAGAGCAGGCATTTTCTTAACCTGGGGTCTGTGGATGGGGGCCTGAATCCACGAGCCCCGAGGTTGCTCATCCATGCTCTTCTCATATCACAGATTGCTCTTTTAAAGAGGTTGTACTTACATGATCTAATGCGATACTGGTTTCTAGATTCTGTTTGTTGTTGTTTTAAGATTTCTAGGCTTGTGGATTTACAAAACATTTAGATTATGTAAGTTTGCAGTTCCTGTGAGGTGTGTGTGTGTGTGTGTGTGTGTGTGTGTGTGTGTTCATCAGTTGGTGCCACTGACTACCTATAAACTGGGTCAAGAGTTACAGAGAAGCTTCCATGTAGAAGAAATGAAGCTAAAAGCTAAGGAAAGGGTGCCAGACCTCAAGGCATCCCTGGTGTGGAAAGACTTCTGCTCTCTGCTCCTGTTACTAAATATTTACCTGGCCTGTGAACGCTCAGTATCTCTTTCACTCATTTGTAAAAATAGCTCTAGCTCTATAGCCTTTCCTAGTTCCCCCAAGGAGTCAGGTATCCCACGGCTGGGCACATGGCACTGTAACCCCAGGAGATGGAGGTGTAGACCTGGGCTGAGGGGATGGCAAGCAGGGGTCCAGGAGGAAGGCAGAGGCTGGCTCCCCTGTTGCTCCAGGGCACACTTCAGTGAACGTTTCTTGGGAAAGCTGACTGTGGCCAAGTTTATCCCTATGGCACCCATAATCCCAGACAAGGCCACAGCTGTGAGCTTGATCTTTCTACCAGAGGGAGTCGCTGTGGAGGCAGCTCTGGAGTTCAGGGAGGGCTTTGATGGGTTCAAGACAGACTCCAGAAGCCTGGCCTGGGGATCCCTATGGGGGTCGGGGGATGGGGATCAGCCCCAGGGTCAGCACGCTGAGTGAGTCCATTTTTCACTCTTGTTTTACCACCAGGGTTAGAATATTTACCCTCCTTTCTCCAGAACATTTTAGGGACGTGGGGCAGGTTGATCCTAAACAAGACTAAAGATAAGTTCAGCCTTTATTATCAATTTTGCTCCCACATTTCCCATCTGGATGCTTCAGCTGCCTTCCATTCTCTCCTCCCTCCAGCTGTTCCACTGCCCCCAGAGTTCCAGAACTTTCCAGATTTTTGTGCCCATCCTGGGGCAAAACCTACTTTTTCTAAAACTCCTTTCAGGCACTTAAATTCCCATACTGAGTATCAAGGGAGGGGGAGTCCCCAAGTGGTGGGGGAGATAGCATCAGTACTTCTCACAAAACTTTTTCAGTAGAACCCTCCTTTGCTCAGCAGATTTCAGATGCACCCAGTGTATCCCCAGCCTGAGACTGCATAACTATTTAATCCCAAACTTGGAGGACAGATTGTTCCCACTGGGGGATGGTTGGGAGCTCGCTGAGAAGGAATGCGAGAGACGATTGCCATACAAAGGAAGAGCATTGGATGGAGGGGGATGCCTGTGGGGAGAAGACCGGGGGCTCGCACTTGCAGATGGTCAGGTGTTTGCCCCCCTGAAGGACCTGGCTGGAGGCCACAGCAGACACCAGCCCGTCGCTCTGGCCTGAGGAATGCCACCTGCAGCCTCTCCTAGCGCCGGCCTCAGGGCAGCACCAGCATCACACGGGAGCTTGTTAGCGATGCGGGAGCTCGGAGCCCCAGCCCACCCTCCTGGATCAGACCCCGCATGGCCACGATTCCCAGGGTACCCATATGCGCCCTGACATGTGACGCCCAGGGGCCCGGGGGTCTCCCCGCCAGCTGTCCCTCCTGAAGGCTCTTCAGTGCTGGCGAGAGCGCTGCGGCCTGGCTTCGCCCATCGGTGGCTGTGCCTCTGTTTTCCACAGCAGATCGGGGGGACAGGGCTAGCTCCCCGTGTGAAGCGAGGACATTCCCTTCACCTCCCCCGTGCGTTTGGGAGGTTTAATGATAGGGTTACCGCGGACCGCTCCAGGCTACGTTTCTGATATCCCACGGTGTCGTTTCTGCCTCCAGGCGATCTACAAGATGGTCTCCTCCGTAATGAAGATGCCCGAGGATGAGTCAACCCCAGAGAAAAGGACGGAAAAAATCTTCCGCCAGATGGACACCAACAGAGATGGTAGGAGGCCCAGGCCGCTTTGCTCTGCTCAGGGTGGGGGCTGCTGGGGGGGCTGGGGTGTCCAGGCAGGGACGTGCCGCTCGAGGACAAGGTATTGGCCACGAGGACCTGCTCACGGCCCTTTCTCTGTAACAGTAGCTCATGCTGCCTACTCCCTGCTGGTGTAGTTCAGGGGAGGATCCGGGTGGGGACAAGCCCAGGCCACAGCAGGCTGGGTCCTTGCAGGACAGCTCATCAGAAAGTGGGGAGGGGCTTGTCATTCTAGCCAGACCCCCGGAGCTTTCACTTCAGCTGGCCAGGGGTTAGCGGACTCTCCTGCGCATGCTCTGTCGGGTTTCCTGGAGCCCAGGGGGTTCTCACAGCCGTCGGGTGGGTGGAGGTGGGAGGGGGGTGAGGTGGACATCAGGTTCCTCCCTGAAGGTGACCCCCACACTTCGGACCCAGCAGGGGCTGCAAAGCAAACCAAAGTGAAAGGAAGGTTGGAGTTCAAGCTCCAGAGCAGAGGAAGCTGACCCTGTTTGAACCACTGTGCGAGTCCGGGCAGAGCTCACATATGGGGCCCAGACACAGGCTTAGAGGGCACCTGCTCTACAGACTGAAAGTAAATCTAATAATAGGATAATATGCAAATGGTCGGGATGCCTTCAGGTAATGACCAATCAGCAGGTCGCATCCCTGCCCCTGCGCCGGCCTGGAGACATGAGGCTCACATCCCCGACCCCAGCAACCGGCCCCAGGACATGAGGCGCGCGTTCCTGCCCCTGGCAATGGGCCCCAGGATGTGAGGCTCATGTCCCCACCCCCTGTGCTGGCCCAGGGGTCCTGAGGCACAGAGAGGCCCCTCCACCGCAGGCTCCGGCCTACCTCTTTGGGGCAATCCATCGAGGAGCCCCAGATGTGTGGGCAGGGCCTACCTCTTTGGGGCAATGGATCATGGGGCTCCTGCACTGTGACAGGGCACAGGCCATGCTGAGGGATCCCCCCCTCCCCGAGTGCATGAATTTCGTGCACCAGGCCACTAGTAGATAGTTAAATCCCCGCCTTTCTCCTTCATGTGAAAAAAAGGTGAATTTGGTTAACCAAGAGCTAGGACCTGGGGAGGGGCTGTAGCTAAGGGGAAGACATATTTAGTTGGGGGAGAGGGTGAGGGCTCCAATAGATGGCACCCCTCCTGCCTGGAGTTGGAATTAGGTGGCAGATAGAGCAATAACAGAGGCCATTGAAGGATGCAGCTCTGTGGACATGGGGACCAAACCCACAGCAGCAGTGAGCAGGGCAGCCTGGCACTGATCCTTGGAGGACCGAGGGGAGCAAGTCCTCCCTGCGGCAGCTCTTGCCAAGAGGAAGAAGAGGGCAAAGCTAAGAAGAAAGGCCCAGCAGCTCCTCCCTAGGAACCCCCCGCCCCCCCACACACACACTGGAAGCACCGGGAATAGGGGAGAAGCTTTGCCCCTCTCCTGGAAGGGACACTGTAGGAGTGGGACCCAGGTGGCTGAGTCCTTCTCTCACAGCCAGCCAGGGTAGGAGGAAAGCATCCTGATTGACGGGAGGGTTCCAGGGGGCACCCCCTGCCTTGCACACACACCCCTTTATTTACCTTACTTCGGTGGAGATGCAGCTGTCGTAGAGGGGCCCTCCCTCAGATATCAGCATCTCCCTCCCCCCCCCCCAATCTCACGCAGCAAACCCAAGTAACCCAGGTGACCTGAAGGAGCCCAGAGGCTCCTCGTGACATGGTGGGAAGGAACGGCCTTGGTGCCGGGAGAGCCCAGCTCAGTCTCATAGAGGCTGAGGGGACATTCCTTCCACAAATACGAAGTCAGGGCACGTGCAGCTGGAGAAGCCGGGAGGGCAGGGCTCAGGGCAGGGCCACCGGCCAGGGCAGGCACACCAGGGGCCTCCCAGGAAGAAGTGTGCCCGCCAGGGGCGGGGCTGGCTCTGCAGTCCTGAACAAGAGCTGCCCCTGAGCCTCACATCGGGAGGGAGGAGAGTGTGGGCCTCACGGCAGGTGTTGGATGGCAGGGACCAGGGGAGCCATCACTGCCTCCAGGATGCGGTGGGATGAGTGTGAGCTCTCGGGCCGCCACCTGCCGCCACTCACCTGTGCTCCATCCTCTTGCTCTCTAGGCAAACTCTCCCTGGAAGAGTTCATCCGAGGGGCCAAGAGCGACCCGTCCATCGTGCGCCTCCTGCAGTGCGACCCCAGCAGCGCCGGCCAGTTCTGAGCCCGCACCCACGAATCCTAGAGCTGCTTGTGTTGTTCCCTTTTGATTTTTCTTTTTAACAATTTTTTTTTTTTTTTTTTGCCAAACAACATTGATGGTGATGCTGTTCCCCCCACAGTCAGATGCCCCTTCCTCCGAGCCGCCTTCAGCTTCTTTTGTCGTGGACGCTTCGTGGGAATGCCCAGAGCCCCAACGCCTCGTGGAGCGCATGGACCGTGCGTCATGCACAGACTTTGTGGTGTTCGTTGTTCTGACGATTTTCATCGTTATTATTATTATTTTCTCTTGATTCTAACGTCTCTGTTCTAAAACCGAAGACGCGGGGAGGCAGGAGAAGGGACCAATCCGGCGCAGTGATGCTACTGCAAGCTTTGAGGGGCTTGTTTGAAAAACAAACCTCCCCCCAACCCCCCACCCCCGGTCTGTTGTCACACATGCCCCAAGGGTGACGGACCAGATGTGGGATCCCCAGCCTGAGAATAAGGAACCTTCTGGGGCCAGGCTGGGAAAGGGGCCTGGAGAATTCCCCCCGCAGGCCTGCCCCACCCCCTTCCCAGCAGGCTGTAGTTTCTAAGCTGTGAACATTTCAAGATAAAGTAATAGTGGAGAGAAAAAGACGGCTCAGCTATTTTTTCACAGGTTTACACTAGTTGAGCTAAGATGAGTTTCTTTGGAAAGTGATCACAAATGGTAACTTATATTCCAAGACCAGACCCATCTTGTTGCTTCTTGTGATTTAAAAAAAAAAAAAAAAGAATGCTGTATATAAAATATTGGGTATTGCAGACCAAATTAAGTGTTTCGCCTTGTTCAAATGAAATGCATGTTTAGTGAGCACTAATCCAATCTTATTACAAAAGACTGTTTCTGGTAGCTTATTGTGAAGTAAGCCAATTATAATGAATGTCTATGTCTTGTTTTAAAGTCATATCTGTCTTTGCACAAATGCACCAATCAGCAGGTATATTTTATATATTCCAGAAAAGTACCAAGTCATCCTGACTAGCCCAGACTTCATGTTGAATGTTTTTCCAGAGTAGCAGTGCCTGGAGAATAGAAGCAGGGCAGGCTGAAGTGGGAACCAGCAAATGGTGCACTAGACGGTTTATCGTATGAGAGATGCGAGGTGATAGGGGGCCCCCCAGCTCGGTGGTGGTATTACATTGGAGGTGTCTGAGCAGACTGACATTCTGTAGACCTGGGAAAAATATAGCATAAATTCTCAGGACTTCCCAATGGTTTGGTCCACATGAATGGTTAGGGAGTCATATCTGGGAGGATGACTTTCCATGCCCCAACTGGCCCTACGGAGTCAGGGGTTGGACAATCATCTGATTCATAATGAAGAAGGCTTGGGCGAGTGCATCTGTGATTTTCAAGGCCCACTATGGAGAATCCAAAGGTGTTTTCCATCACCATGTTCTTTGACTGAAGATTTCTATTTCCAGAAGCGACAGCACAAATTTGAGCTGCTGTTTGGTCTGGTGACCTCAGACACGCTCATTTGAATTGGAAAACTTGCTGGTTACAGGGGAGCCATATTCCAATAAGCAGTAGGCATGAGGAAACCCCAACACTCAAGGGTGTAGATGGGGAGAACCTACCCCAAGCAAAGGACCCCAGTGAGTCTGTCTCCTGCCACACTACTTCCTGTAGACCCAGGACCACAGGAAGGTAGACATCATAACCACGAGGAAGATGATGCTGAGCCCACTCTAACCTCCAGATTCTTGTGTATTACTTGAATCTACTTTAACGGGTGGCAAAAATCCAAATTTGTGTGGTTGGCCAACGTGAACCCATTCTGCAGGATGAAATTTGAGACCTGGACTCCGTAAAATAACTTTAATCCTCCTCTGAGTGTCAGTGTCTCACCATTGTTTTACACTGATACTGGCCAAGTTCCTCCATGGTCCCGGTGGGAAAATCTAGTTTTGAAAAATAGGGAATTAACCTAAGACATGGAGGGCAGAGTGAGCGAGGGGACCAAGCACCCCTATCGATAGTGTCCAGGAGGCACGCCTCACTCTCTCCCCATCTTGATTGCAGACCTGAACGTTCCTTTTAGTTCTCCTTAGATGGTGGAGCGAGTTCATGTCTGGGAAACCCACGTGGGCTCTGCCCTTGGTCGTGACATCTTGCTGAACCAAACTCACTTTGTTTCCTAGAACCTAAAGCTGGAATGAGGAGCAGGGAAGAGGGTCTCCAGCTCTTTAGGAAAGAAAACAAGAGCCAGACGCATGGCTAATGAACGCTGACTCGTTGGGATATACGGAAATAGCCCTCATCCTGGCCTGCCATTGACCCTGTCTGTATTTTCTCGAGGGTTGTTTTGCTTCTCCTCCTTCCTGGGAAGGCCTCTGTAGGACTAATGCAATGCACTCATTTTGGCCAAGGGACTCTGCAGCACACAGAAAGCTGGATGCCTAAAGGTTTATGTCACTCCTGTGCTGGGCTGTTCATTGTCATTGCTGTGTTAAGGGATGGATTCTGCTCTGTCTGAAATCAAGCCAGCCTGTGATGTTCAAGGGACTGGAATAAAGTGGTTTATAAATTGAAAGATGCTACAGAGTGGTTGACTCTCCATTTCCCTGTTTAGGGCAGGGAAGGGGTACCAAGGGTGCTGTCCACCCATCTCTATGCCCCAGGGGATTTAATCACATGCATACTGAGAAACCCCATCATATGGAATGGGCCCGATATCGGTTGACTCTGTGTTGCTCTAGCTTGGCAGTCAGGCACGTTGTGTGTTTAATGGTTGTCTGGGACATGAGGTTTCCATGCCTACACTGCCGCTCCAGCTGAATCTGTGCCTGTGTGAGGGTCGAGGTGCCAACTCTGGCCTCCTCCTTCTGGGTACAGTTTCTGCCCTCGAGAGACACAAGGAACCAGGGTTTATGAAAGGGGGGGGATTGGAGAGGCTGCTGAGCCCCAAGCCCCACCCAAAAGCATCCTTGGTCTACACCTGGGCTTCCGTACTTCCCTCCATTTAGGGCCTTCACTTCCTTCTCACCCTTTCTTCTTGCTCACAACTGGAGCTGCAGACCCTAGTTCTAACATGAGGTGCAATGGAAGGAGAAGCTGAGGCATGCTCCTCCTCAGGGGAGATTAGTGTCCTCCTCTCCCCCCTCTTCGCCTCTCAGTCAATAAGAGATGACACGATACAGAGCCCACCCCCTCAAAGCCATGGCAGATCAACCGTGTGTTTGGTTTTGTTGATGTCATCAGCCCTACCGCCAGCACAGAAAGCCACTCACGTGGGAAAAAATGGCTGTCAGCTATAGCAGGTGCTTCATGGGCCAACTACTCGTCACGTTAGAGTTGAGTTGGCTTGGAGTAGAGTATTTTCCTATTTTACACATTTTCTCCTTATGGCCCAGCAATGTCCCTGAAACACACGACTATTCAGCATGATTAACAGCATGTCATTTGTGACAGTGATGATGAGAAGGTGGTGGGAGCCTCCAACCTGATTAGGAACCTGCAGTCCCACACTTCTGGTGAGCCAACCCGGAAATTTCCAGCAAATTTCCAAACCTGAGTCTCCTATTTACAGGGCATGGTCCCAACACCCCGACCCAACTGGACCCCCTCCTAGCCTAGCTCAGGCATGGAGGGCACACTTCAGTTGAGGAGGAGACGGCGTGTTCGCAGCCAGCGTGGGGAGATCAGGAAAACTGTCTTCGGGAGACACGGAGAAGCTTTGCGCTCGCCTCTCCTGTCTTCGTCAGAAAATGCTCGGCACCTCCGAAAATTTTCTGTTTTTCAAGGTGGCTGAAGAAGCAAGAGGAAGCACACGGAGCCCTGTATTTTCTAAGGCGGCAGAATGCCAGTCAAATCCACCTAAAAGAGAAAGATTGCTGCCGAGTGAAAAGATGTTCAAGCCAAGGTATAACCAATGGTATATTCATTTCTCTATTCCTGTACACCAACCACGTGTCAGGACGTAGGCAAGTCCTGGGCACTTGCTGTCCTGAGTATTCGTGTGCCAGGCTGGTCCCAGGCATCCCTGGGGTTGCAAACAATGATCACTCGGAGTGATAACTCCCTGGGGCAGCTCAGAGAGGGGTCAGGGCTTTGAGGAGGCTTACTTCATGACTTCTTTTCTCCACACTATTCCAGGAAATGGGTGGCATTTAAACCATTCCCCAGAAGAGATGGTGAAACTACTTCAAAATTCTGGACAGCTCAGCTTGCCAATCCTATGAAATACTCATGGCTCTGCCATCAGTGTATCACACACATGTAGATAGACAGACTCTCTCTCAAAATGTACCTTTCCAATATCAGTATTTAATCACTTTACTGGTCTCACATGGAGTGTTCAGTGCTGGCCCCATACAGAACCATGCACTCTAGACTTGGGAGTTGTATATGTGTGTGGAGCTGGGGAGGGGATAGGAGTTATTAGCAAAGAAGTTCACAGCTCGCGGGTAAGTCCTGTCCAGCACCTTAAAAATGGTTATGAAGTATCTTACACCTACGGCAAAGCGGAAGTCAAGTTCTTTATTGAGTGGTGCGTGAGAGAAGTGTTTGCTACCCAAGAAACAATTGGGTGATATTTGCCATTAGCACCTTTTCTATCCTGGCATTTTTGTCATGGGGGTCACTGTGAAGGGCGATGCCCATAGTGACCAAGTGCACGGTTCCAGACTCGGGCTGTTTCAGTTTAAATCAGGGTTTGGCTTTACAGGCTTTGTGACTGAGGGCAAGTCACTCACACCCTCTCCAACTTCTATTTCTGGTCGGCAAAATGGGGCGAATCCTTGACTCTACTTTTTAGGTTGCTGTAAAGATTAAATGCAAATATTACATGCAAGCATTTAGTATCTTATACACAAGAGCCGTTCAAGTTTATACGGTTTGAGTGAAATTTATGGATAAATCAGTTATGTGTATGTATTCTTTCTCTACAACGGAATTGTGGGTTTATAGTGCCATCTTAAGGATAAAGCAACCATACAATCTTATCCTCTGATCAATTTTTTCTTATTACCAGCCATACACAGCCCATTTTAATCAGCACCTGGGCAACACCTTCCCCTTTGTTCTTCCTAATCCAGCCACTATTAATGCTTCTTCTGTGATACTTACCATCTATATATATATATATATATATAATTAAAATAAATAATACAATGCCAAATGAATTACAGGAAAGGTTCTGGTTTGGCTGTCAGAACTGTAGGTGAAGGAGTCTAAATCTATACACAGATCAGATCCTGTTGCTGTCCAGTGGCAGTCTCCCTAGCATGGCTTCGGTGGAAAATCTTATGTGTCTTCTTTATACTATCCATGCCTCCTTCTCTTATCGAATCATGT